CTGGGGAAGTCATCCAGCAAATGAGCAAGGCCTGGGGTTCCACCTCTGTGGTGGGACAAGGAGAGGTCTCGCAGGTGGAACGTTCTAGGATATGAAACCTAAGATGCTGTCGCGCAATCACTGGCCAGTTCCCTGGTGGCCGCCCAGCCTCAGCGCCGTCCCCAGAGCCTGCACCTCGCAGCAGAGCGTCCTGGATGGGTGCAGCCGGCCCCACCCCATCCCCAGTCCTGGGGGGGTTCAGTGCCCTCCCCTGGGAATTCACCTCTCTAGACAGCTGTTCCAGAAAGGTGTCCTTGTCATAAGCTCCATCTTCAGAGCCTGCTCGGACCCCTCCATGTCCTCTGGTGACCGGGTTCCTTAGGGCTGACAACTTGCCAGGAAGCACCCTGATGCGGCAGTGTGGTTTCCTGTTCTTGGTCGCTCTGGTTAGGTCTCCTTCCCGTCTCTCTGAGTGCTCCAGGACATCTGTGCCACGTTACCTGAATCCTTCTAGCCTGCTCTACCAGCTCCTAGGCCGGATGTGACAGAGGAGCTACTTCCCCCACGGGTACATTCCATTGCAAAAGAACCAGCACTTCCCAATGACAGTCATGGGAAACCGCATTCCCTACTGGAATCTGGAGAAGTAATGTCTGTCGGGTTTTTACACGTGCCGGCACGTCCAGCTTCGCACCTCTGTGTGCCGTGTGTTGTACTGGAGTCCAGGGGGAGTCAAGGAATGAGTGAGCCAAGGAAGATGGCCTGTGTGCTGTGGGTGCTGGCCGGCAGGGCTGCGCCAGAGGTGAGGCTGCAAAGGTGGATGCGTGAGGTCCGGATCTGGAGAGCTTCGGACTCGTTAGGGCACACCTTCCAGGGTGTTAATGGATGTCATCAGGAAAGCAAGTCTATGTTAAATACATCTGGGAGACAGGACTATGTTTTGAGAGATCTTTACTATAGGGCACGTGTGCTTGCTGGAGAGAAAGACAGAAAGTGAGATCTCCCCCCCGGGGGGATGGCCCTGTTGCAGTCCCTTCTCCATTTTCCTCTCAGGGTTTTGGGCTCTCATGCATGCACGTGCCTGGTGTGAGTTTTAAGCCACTGAGTCCAGGATGTGCTTTTTTTTTTTTTTTCCATTTTCTTCTTGGGATCCTCGGCACGCATGCATACACGCCCGGCATGAGTTTAAGCCACCAGGTCCAGGACTTGAACTGCGGTCTACTACGTGGGAGTCCAGTGACATAGCCATTACACCAACTGCTGGTCCCCCGAGTCCAGGATTTGAACCACAGTTGACTACATGAGAGTCCAGCAATGTAACCCTTACACCATCTGCTGGTCCCATTTGGGAGACGGGACTTTTTAAAAAGAGTTGGGAGGTTTTCACCTGGTGTGGGTAGGTTTTTGTTGCAAGATTCTGCAGCCTTTCTATGCTAATGGGCTTTATGAATTTACACAATGAGCTACACAGGAGACAACGCTTCCCACCCTGGCCCGGCTCGGGAACCCCCTCTGTTCCCCTCATAGGGCACACCTCCCAGCAGACACTTGGGAGATGCTGGCGTTTGGCTGTGACGATTTAAGCTGGCAAGTGACACAATTGGGCACGTGTTTTTTTCAAGTCCGCTCTGGAAAGAAGTGTAGTGGGCCTGGGAGGGGGAGCGGCTAGAGGCAGGGACACCTGCTAACGGTAACAGCC